GACCACATGAGAAACACCAGCTTTCAAACAAAATAATCATCGAAATCGGTTCACAATTAAAAAATTATGAGGTAACACACATAAAAAAACATACAGTTAAATTGAGTACCGTCTCCTTTTTATAGAAAGTCGGTAGAAAATTAAAGCAACTAGATCAGAAATACTTTATGATATTTGTATTAGAAAGTGACCATTTGTTGTTTTTGATAGCACTGTAAGAAAACGTAATTTATCAAAAGGCAGTCGAACTAAGTAAGTGGCACAAATATGAGTCTCTAAAAGTTGTCTACATATTTGTGCCATTTGCCGTAGAGATTATCGGTCCGTGAGGACCAAGTGCGGTGAAGTTTCTAAAGGAACTGTATCGTATATCGTATATAATCGTTTCTTCGCTTAATACTGCTAATTAAGTGAGGAAGCATTCTTCAGCATTCTTGGCAAGATACCATGGAGAGTAGGACTGTAAAATACACTCCGTATGATCATTTAAGTTTAGAGTTTAAGTTATCTATTTTATTATAGTTAATATTGTATATATTTCAATGTTATTTACTTTAATATTGATTATTAACAGACAAAACAATTCGTTCTAATTATTTAACATAGATAAATATTTCTGTTTACTATAATACTGTAATACACCAATAATATTGTTGTGTAATATGGTTATGTTGCGTCGACTTTTAGTAGTTATAAGTAGGTATGATATAGTTTTTGTTTTTGACTAGTCGTGCCAGACAATGCGCATGCCTTTTTTTGACAGAAATATTGACGCATGCATTATTTCATCTTTTTTTTTATAGATAAGAGTGACGAACGAGCATACAGTCCACCTGATGGTAAGTGGATGTTGTGGCTCATAGACATCTAATTTACATCTATATCTATATATAATATACTATAAGAAACGAAATGCAGATGCGTTGTCACCCCTGAGGACTAAGATGGAATGGCTCGTTACCAGTAGAAAGGTTCTCCGGTTTTTTTTTACGAAACATTTAATTATTCTGCTGTTTCGCGCAAGTGTTCGGTTGAGTCGACCAATTCATAATCTAATGAATGGTATAGGAACACATAGACAACGAGCAAAGAAACAAATAATCTTGTTTTTGTTAGAAACTTTCGGGGGCATTTAACCAAATTTTTTTTTAATCAATTCAATCGTAATCAGATGAATGGAGTGGAACATTAATGTTTTTGAATTAAATTCGATAATAACTGTGCAACCTATAATAAATTGTATAACTGGCCTGTATGGCCATGTACCTACTTTGGACAAAAAGGTCCCGCTAGGTTTCTGGCTGGTTCTCCTCATGACAGTGGCTTTTTACCAAGTGGTAAAAATAATAATTGCAATAAGAATTATTTATAATTCATAATGGATAAAAAAATATAATATTCTATTATGGGACAAACAAAGTATCATTTTACACATAAAGATGACTATGTTATCACTTATGAGACTGATGGTGATGACACTAGTACAGATGACTTCGTAACTCCCATTGAGTTTACCTGAATGTATGTATATGTATGTATGTATCTATACATATGTTTGTGTATACATATACATATAAAACTATAGAAAATTTATCATTTAATCATTATCATTTAAATTCCTGATTAATGTTACATTGATACTATTGTTTTGTTATATTTGTAATTGTGTATATGTTATATTCTGCGAAGCAGGATTTTTTTATTGCTTTGTATTTTCAAACTTAATTCCCATCATAAAAACTTTTATTTCTATTGCAATTAATCTTAATTATCTAATTAATTATAAAACTATTTAGTTTTAGGACCTTTTGAACAGTATACTCGTATTCAAGTTTATGCTTAAATTATTAAAATACACAAGTATGAATTGCAATAATTTGAAATTCTTCCTGCTTCTTCTTCTTCTTAATAACTGGCTTTACGGCTCTGGTATCTAGCCCTTCTAAGCCTGAAGTGTCAATATTATATTATAATAATTATTCTTCATAGTATACTGCTTCACAATATGTGGATGCGTCACATTGTGCAGCCCTTGGGAGATTTTGACGGCAACTTGAGCCAGCAGACAGCTGACGGTTAGCGATGGTATCTCAAGGCGCCTAAGCAGACAGGCACCTTATTTTGAGAATCACATCACTATCAGAGCACTTGTTTCACAGTTTCTACGAATAGTTCACATGCGCAGACACTTAATACACAAAATCGCACCACTTTGACATATCAAAATCCACTTAAAACCATTATTTAAACAATAAAACAGGAGCAGCAAACCGCCGCCGGTCAAGTTCCCGCCGAAACCTCCCAAAATTCTTCCTGCTCCGCGATCACGCCATAGATAATGCATACTTGTTTTATGCAATTTTTTGCATGTTAGGTAATAAGAGATTATTTATGACATATTGTAAAAATGTTGCAGTGTAAATATTCTATGGTGTTAAATAAGTAAATAAATAAAATAATTGTATTTTAGTGTACTTGTGTGTTCGAGTCCTAGTTTCGAATTTCTCGCCAAGTAGAGGCGGCGTAAGAAAATACAATGCTGCCTCAAAATATCATCCCGTGGGTGTCATAGGAGGGTACAGATGTAAATTAAATAAAAGTTGGACAGCAGCATCTTCGTATAACAACTCGAAATAATAATATGCGGAGACTTATGTTCAGTAGTGGACTTTTGATAGGTGTAATGAATGGATGTATTAATTCATTCAGACTTCGGTTTTCAAGTGCTCATACGCATTATGAGAACACCGCAATGCGGTCAGTCGTATGGATGACCGCAATCAAAAATATATCCGTAACATCTATTTCTATGCGCACTGCCACTATCCGCAAACAGCTCCGGTCGTTTGCAGGGCTGCGGCCCGAATGACGGCCAGCCGGACGGTTCCTGGTCGCAATGTGCTGCTCAATTCGCATCTGCCTTCCATTGAGTGAGATTGTCTGCACGACCACGTGCTGACAATCTCACTCAATTTATGTAAAATATATATAAAAACGTTTATGATGGAAACAAAAAATTTATCATCGAAATCCACAAAACACGGTCCTCAGGCCAGGGGCCTTTATCTTTCTACATCTGTTACCAGGTCGTCACTCAATCTAGTATGTTAACTCATAACTCTTTTTATAGTTCCGTACCTAAGTCTTTTTATACCTCACTAGGATATTCTCTCGTATCGTAGATGCGTTTCACATACATAAATTACTCATGGATGAACGTTTAGACCTTGTACAGTTATTTTTTTGTAAGTTAATACACGCACCGAGCGGGATTTGAACCTGTGGCACGACGGAGCCGCATAAAATGCGCTTCTTAGTTTCAAGTATACGAGGCTCTCATTGTGCCTGATTGGGTGACCATTGTGTCACTCGTTTTCTATAAAACACATTCAGACCCAAAAACAAAGGTTTTTTTTTTACTCAGACAGGTATTCCAAAACGGGACGTATGTGCATAAAACATAACATAACGTCACTAAGACTAAGACTAAGATGGTAATGTTAAGATGGGGTTGATCAAGTAGTATCATATCGGTAGATATTATACCTAGAATCTTTTTAAATTTAAGTTTACTTTAACACTCATTTATTAAAAAATATTATTTTCTCATTTCAGTAACAAAGATGAAGCTGGTAAAGACTTTATCACTTTTCCTGCTAATCGGATTGACCGTTGCAGCTCCAGCACCTGACAAAAGCCAGGAAAGCAAAGAGAGTAAACAAAGTACAGAAAGTAATGAAAGCAAGAAGAGTGGAAAAAATAACCGAATCACTGTCTCTAAAAAAAGTTACCAAGATAACTTTGAAGTGTATACAGGTAAACATGAAATCGTTAATATTATTTTTCCCCTAAATTCTCTGAACTTTAATCATGATGCCGAATACGTTGACTCAAGCGAGGAAAGCAACACTACTTTATTCTTCGTCGAAGCTGATGTAGATGCAGCTGGCAATAGAATTGACAAAGGCCTCTATGTCCTTAAAGACGGTAAAGCTAAGAAATTATTAGATAACGGACGAGATGCCGCTGCTTCTTCTGATGATAGCAAAGACGTGTTCTTCGGTGCAAAAGACGGAATTTACAAATACGACCCGAAGGAAAACATAGCCGTAAAATACGGTACTGTAACAGACAGTATTATTGGTATCGCTAAAGAAAACTCTACAGATGTTATTTACATATTAACTGAGGACCACGATCTGTATAAAGTCACTGAAGATGGCCAGAAGAAAGTTAAAATAGATGATGTTGTAGGTGCTCGGGAAATAGTATTGGATTACTCTAACAATTTATATTTCTATGGTGAAAATAAGCTACCGTGTGTTGTAAATGCTGACGGTGTAAAGAAAATAGAAGGTTTACCTAAGAATCCAAATTCAGTCAGACTTATTAAGCCCCCTTTTGTTGTAGAAAATGGCGTGCCTTACATATCTGATAACATTGTATATATTATTTATGCAAATGGAACAAGCGAAAAGGCTGCTTTAGATTTTAAATCTGACTCTATACCATCAGCTTATGGGATAGGTCCGAAGCTAATTCAGTACTACGCTTATAATAAGAAAATTTATGAATACAATGTTATTTTAGTCGCCTATTCAGGGATGATTGAAGATTACAAAAACTTCTCAAAAAGCCAGACGTCTACTATTCATTCAATGGCGACACGATCCAGGAGTTCCTTGAAGGCTCATTAAGTGTATGAGCACTAAAGTACGATTAAACACATTTTAATATAAACCAGTTATGTTTTTTTTTTTGATAGTTTGAACATTCCTAAAAATCCTATTTTCGACTCTTTTAAGAGTGCACAGCAAGACATAATCTTCTTCTAGAATGCAATAGCTAAAAGTAAGGTGTTTACACAAAAATAAAACTCATGGCCATTAGCTTAATTTTATAAGAAGATAATTAAATCGGCAAATCAAACAAAAGATACACAAGCGAATACATATTTAATCATCACAATCTATAATAATGAATAATGTAAGGTATAGTTTTTAAATATTAGACATAAAATAATCATCAGGAGGACAAGGATCGTTAGTATCAATTGGTTTGTATCTGTAAATCTTTCCTCTTGTACCAATTATAATATTGTTTTTAGCGTCAAAAAACATTGCAGTGATCTTGAATCCAAGCTGTCCAATTTTGACCGGCAAAACACTGTTCGTGAATAGACGATAAAGAGATCCCTTTACAGCTATGATCGCTTCGTCATTATTGTTCATCTGTAGAATGTACTTCAACTCCCTTGTGAGGCCTTTGTATTGAATTGGTTCGAATAAATCTACCGAGAAAAAGTACAATCTACCATCAATGTACTCATAAAATACATTGCCCTTACTGTCAAGAACGAAATTGTATGCTTTTGGCACCCTTTCGTATCTTTTGACAGCTGCGGATCCGTTCACAAACCTGAAAATTTCGTGCTGTGGCCCGGTTGTTATATACATGCGGTTGTCAGTCTTATCGAAGAATATATTTCTAACATCATCATCTCCAATAGGTCTGTCAACAGTTATCTCACTTCTAGAATAATCGTATATTGCCAGACCTTGATTTGTGCCAACGTATATAACGTTGTTCCTGACATCTATACCAACACATTGACCGATTAAGTCATCAGAGACCGGCAGTTCTTGGACGGCCAAGGCGCCATGCCTCAACAGATATATTCCTCTCGTATAGTTTCTGTTGTGAAGCAAGAAAAATATATTATCAGTTCTTGGATCCACCACCAGACCAGTTGCAAAGCCATCTATGGTGGCGACGAGTTGTCGTTTGTAATATTCGTTGCCAATTTTGATTCTTTCACATTTATCTGCGCTGTTTTCATTTAGACTTATGAGGATAGCAAGTAATGCAAAGATGTTCCGTTTTAGATGCATTTTAAATTCATGTCAATTTCTCTAATCCTGGAAAAAGAATTTAGGAAATAAATACCAACTGATTCACAATTGATTGTCACTCCATTTAGTCCCGTGGGTGTTGTAAGAGGCGACATGGGGCATAAGGGCTACATCATCCACTTACCATCGGGTGGATTGTGTGCTCGTTTGTTTTCTATAAAAAAACCTAGGTGCAGTGTAGTGACGGTGTAGAAATATCTACTCGTAAAAAGCAACAGGGGAAAACAGAAACAGATGGGCAGTAGTATCTTTCTGATAATATCTATAAAATCTACTACTACTACTTAGCATCTACCTGCTACCTAAAGGCTACTGCTTGCCGAGCCGCGAGCTAACGGAGTGTTGGCCTACCCTCCTACCAACGGCCATCATCACTGTCGGGCTTGGGTATCTCCGGCTCCTTCTGCTAGCTGGCTGTCTACGACCCTGAGGGAACAGCGCTTGGACGTCGCCGCTACGTCAGGCCAGTGATCCACTTCATAGAAACTTACTTGTACGTGTACGAAAGTAAGATAAATAAATAATTTACGATGAATCTTGGCTTTTTAAGAACCCACCTACTTCTGAACCCCTAGCGGTTGCCAACCCGTCTGCCAAGCGTAGCAACTATGGCAAATATGAAGCAATCTTTGGGGGTGGCCTATGTTCAGCAGTGGACTTTTGCTAGACTATCGGTGAGGGGGAACTTTTTCTAAAACTAACAACCAGGCTTCTACTTTTGTGTATCAATTTGCAGAATGGACTTAGCCAGTCCAGCCAAAGAGGTATTCCATCTTAGTCCTCACGGGTGACAACGCATCTGCATTTTGAATCTTTATTGAGGGAAGATGTAGATGTCTATGGGTCACAGTAACTACTTACCATCAGATGGACTGTGTGCTCGTTTTAAATTCTTTTTTAATTTATTCTTCACAAGGAGTCCAATGAACAGATGGTAAATTAGCAGGTAAAATTACAATTAACGATTTAATTAGATCCGGCGGGGATCGAACCCGGGTTGCTCGCGTCCTGACGTTGACGATGAACGTTTTACTACCACGGCACATAAAATAAAAATGAAATAGTTACCGCTATATCCGGTGATGATTACCTGCAACCTTTTGTATATTTTTTTTATAGAATAAGGGTGACAAACGAGCACCCAGTCCACCTGATGATAAGTGGATGCTGTGGCCCATAGTCATCTATATTATCCTGGATTTAGAATCAAAATGAAGATGCGTTGTCTTCCCTGAGGACTGGAATACCTCGTTATCAGTAAAAAGGGTCTCCAGTTCTCTACATTCCACCATAAGACACAGCAGCATTGAGAGCACACAGTCCACCTGATGGTAAGTGGTTGCTGTGGTCCGTAGACATCTACATTTATCCTCGTTTGCGAATGAAAATGCAGATGCGTTGCCACTCGTGAGGACTAAGATGGAATGCCTCGTTTCCAGTTAAGGGTCTCCGGTTTTCTACACTCACCATACGAAACACTGCAGTGTTAAGCTGCTATTTTACGCTGGTATTCTGTGAGAGCGTGGCCCTTCCCTGGTCGAGCCGACCCATTCGTGCTACAACTATACTACTAATACCTATAGCTGCAGCATGGCTCTACCACGTATTATTTCTCTCTCTATGTGAGATTAAATTTAAATTTAAATAGTTTGAATCAGATCATCATACCTGTAGTTTTTCTCCTCGTTAGTGTGATAGTGACAGGAATTCTAGACACCTCTAAAGTGAGACTACAGACTAGACACTTAATAAAATATCGGCTGCCATTGTATAATATAAAAGTAGAGTTTATAAACATAGCTACTAGGCGGCCATATTGATTTTGATAGGACTAGGCGGATACAGCCTGATCGAATTTTCTTAGAAATATTTGAATTATTTTAGCAATTATAACGTAGACGAGCCACGCTGTAACTATATTATGATTGTAACGCAAATGGGCTGGCTCGACCGGGATCTTACAGAATACCGTAAGTGTAGAGAATCGCAGACCCTTTTTCTGGAAACGAAGCATCCCATCGTATTCCTCAGGGATGACAACGCATCTGTATTTTGATTATTAATCGAGGATAAATGAAGATGTCTATTACCTACATCATCCACTTACCATCACATGGACTGTGTGATCGTTTGTCTTCATTAAAAACAATTACAGTCACACTTTTAGAATTTACATTCACAGTAAACACTAACATCTGTCACCCAGAGGGGTAGGCAAGGACTACGGACATCCATCCAGCACGATCCTGATACATCTCTCTCGACTCCTTCACTTCTAATATATTTATCGTTATTTTGGTCTATAAACTTTCGCGTAGGGCGTTCCTTGCTGACTTTGCCCATTCACTTTCTGCGACGGAAATTTGCTTTGTCACTCTTTATTCATTCATTCTTTCCACATGATCACCACCAAAGCATTTCTTTCTTAATCCTGGTTACAACATCTTCTTTTATCTTAACACACAATATCTCACCCTGTCATTAAAAGTCACTAGTAACATACTTCTTTGATTTCATTTCTACAGCATTAATACTTCTCTCGTGTTTTTTCTGTAACAGTAAATTTTCACTACCATACATTGAGAAAGGTACTAATACAGTATTGTGAATTGGCATACCTGCCTTTTTAGGTTCCATACCCGTAGGGTAACCAACAGGACCCTATTAATAAGCCTCTGTCTGTCAGAGGGCTCTATCTCATGATCTGTAATAGGTAGACAGTTGAAATTTTCATAGAATGTGTATTTCTGTTGCCGCTATAACAACAAATAATCAAAATAAAAATAAATAAAAAATTAAAGTGGGCTCCTCTACTATAAACGTGTTTTACGATGGTACGGAACCCTTCATGCGCGAGTCCGACTCGCATTTCGTCGGTTTTTATTTCACACATTCTAACTTCCCACAATAGAGTGAAGAGCCCAATTAAATCTGTATAGAGTAAAGTTGCTATCGTTTTTATGACGTTTTCTTTGCCTTCTTTACCAGCTTTTCTGGTAATGAAGGTAAGTATGCTATTCCATAGCTATTCCATAACTCCATTACTAAGCATTTATTCTTATTTATATATTTATTTATTCTTAATTCTACACCGAAATTAAAAGGATTACAAAGGACAGACTTAATGCCTTTTGGCATTCTCTCCCAGTCAACCCCTAAAGTGTGGATATAATGTGATAGGTGACAAAAATAAAAAGAACATTAATGTAAATGAATAAAAAAGGAAAAGGAAAAAAATAATTTACTTGATTTTTCTGTTAAACCCGCACTACTAAACAATCTATGGAGAAAGAGCTGTAGATTTTGATATAGTGGAACGGTGTAATATGTTGGTTTCTCAAAAACCCGCTTTAGCGATAGGTTTTATAGATACATACATACATACATATAATCACGCCTCTTTCCCGTAGGGGTAGGCAGAGTCCAGTTCTTTCCACTTGCTACGATCCTTACATACTTGTTTTGCTTCGTCCACTTTCATTATTCCCTTCATACATGCTCTACGGTTTAGGGTACTCTTGACCTGGCCTTTTTTCAAGACGTCCCTGATTTGGTCTAGAAATGTCCGCCTAGGTCTACCCCTTCCAACACTTTCATTCACACTCGCCTTATACACTTTTTTCGTCAACTGTTCTTCATTCATTCTCTCGACATGGCCAAACCATCTCAGCATACCTTTCTCAATTTTTGTCACTACATCTTCTTTCAGACCACAACGTTTCCTTACCTCACTATTTCTTAGCCTGTCACTCAGTTTAACTCCTATCATACTTCTTAATGCTCTCATCTCAACTGCATTTATTCTGCTTTCATGTTTCTTCTGCCATACCCAAGTTTCACTTCCGTACATGAGTGTCGGAACCAATACCCCCTCATGCACAGCCAAACGAGCCTTGTTAGACACCTTCCGACTGCTCATAAAGGAGTGCAAAGCTCCATTCACCATGTTTCCTGCATTCACTCTTCTTTCGATATCACTCTCACACTTTCCATCTCTTGTAAACTTTGAACCCAGATACACAAACTCTTTCACCTGTTCAATTTGGTCATCTTCAATCACGATATTGCAGTCTGTCACTGCCTCATCTTTTTCAAACACCATCACTTTCGTCTTCCTTACATTCATCTTCATTCCCTTTCTAACAAAAGCTCCACTCATAGCAGTTACCATCTCCTGCAACTCCTCGGCCGAAGACGCAAGTAATACTTGGTCATCAGCATAGAGAAAACATTTGACGAGTAACTCATTCATTCTCAACCCACTTTCATTCTCTTTTAAATCTGTCAAACAATTGTCCATGAACAGATTAAACAGCCACTGTGACGCTACACATCCCTGTCTAACACCTTTTTCGATATTAAACCATTCAGTGTATGCCCCGTTTATCCTTACACAAGCACTAGAATCCCTATAAAGAGATTGCATTGCTCGTATGAGGATACTGCTCACACCGTTCACGGACAGTGCTGACCACAATTCATTCCTCACCACTCTATCATAGGCCTTTTCTAGATCTACGAACGCGCAGAAGACTTTCTTGTTTTTAGCCAAATACTTTTCGGCTATGCACCGCAAGGAAAAGACCTGATCCGTACATCCCATTCCCTTTCTGAATCCCGCTTGTGCATCCCATACTTTCTTGTCTGTTTCATTCACAATCCTTTCAATCAACACTTTCGCATACAATTTACCGACGACGCTGAGAAGGCTTATACCGCGGTAATTTATGCAGTCCTGCCGTGACCCTTTTCCCTTATACAATGGCACGATTACGGCTTTGCACCAGTCTCCCGGTACTTGCCCATTTCGCCAGCACAGATTGAAAAGGCGGTACAGCTGACTAGCCACCAGGCCCTGTCCAGCCCTCTGCATCTCGACGGTAATCCTGTCATACCCTGCAGCCTTACCTAATCTCATACTTTTCAACGCTTTCACTATTTCATCCATGCTTATCTCATTTTCATCAACACTTATATTA